GCAGAGTGCTCCTTCGGCCAGAACACTTCTCAACGGTGGCTTTTCAGCCCATAGTCACCAAGGCAACAAAACAAGTGACAACTTGCACATTTTTTGAAAGTAATAAAATCAATTGCAGTAAGCTGTCAGTACACCGCAGAATGCGGCACGCGGGGAAGACTGGGGTAGTTATTAAGACACTGCCTCTTGGCTCCCGAGAGGGCTCCACACACCACACTCCCGCTGGCTCTAGGGGCTGGCGTCCTGCTGAGTTCTCCCTCCAGGAAGGACTAGAGGGAGGCAGGATGGCAGCTAGAGGAAGAAGGGATGTGCTCCTTTCTGTTCTGCTTTCTGTTCGTGTCCACCCCCCGCCCCCCAGCAATGCTTCAGTGTGTGGTTTTCCTCATTTCCAGAACCAGTCTCATCGTGGTGCCTCAGAGACTCCACCTGGTCGGCGTCCCCTCCGCAGAGGTCTTCGTCTGACTCCATGGTTCCTCCTTCAAGCTTCTAGGTTTTGAGAATCCATCCTCTTCCTGTAAGTCCTGGTCCCCAGAGAGGAAGCTTCTTCCTGCCTTTACTACTGCTGTAATACTTCAGCGCAGGGCTAACCAAATGTACAGACAGTGCTTCACTAGAATGCAAATTAGCCACACCATTAAGCACACTGTGTAGTTCGGCCTACTCTATTCATAGGTAGACGTTCTCAAAAAAGAAGTAATGAGCCCAGCTGCTGTGGCTCAGTGGTTGAGCACTGACCCAGGCACCAAGAGGTCACCGGTTTGATTCCTGGTCAGGGCACATGCCCAGGTTGTGGGCTCGATCCCCAGTGGGGGGCATGCAGGAGGTGGCCAGTCCATGTCCTCTCTCATCAATATTTCTATCTCTCTCTCTCTCTCCCTTCCTCTCTCTCTAAAATCAATAGAGAAAAAATTTTTAAAAATAAGTAATGAGTTGATACATTCTGATCAAGCTCCTACCACAGACGGCTAGCAAACGGTCAGCACACCGATTACACAGAGCAGCACAGTCGTAGGTCTTCCTCCTTGGTCAATGATTCTGCTTATTAGAGTCACTCCTAGTATTTCCTGTGGTTTCTGTCTCCGAATAAAACACTGACTGAGACAGAGGTTAGGTATAGGTACATTGAGTAAATTCTACACTTTAATTATAAGCATGCATGTGTACAAAATGAATTTGATATAAAATGTACCATATGATTAAAAAAAAAGGAAATATATTAGCCTAACATGTAGATTATAAGAAAAAATATTTACCTATATCCCACTTGTACATATATCTGCACTGCTTTCCTGTGGTACGATATTTAAAAAAATAAATATAAAAACTCAAAGGAAAATATTCAGAAAACGCCATTCAACAAAAACTTTTTTTTAAATTAATTTATTTTTGTTACAGATGTTTCTCCTTTTTTCCCCACTGACACCCTCCTCCCCATCCCCCCACCCCATCCCCAGCTTTGTTGTCCATGTCCATCAGTTATGCGTACACGTATATAAGTTCTGTGGTTTATCTCTCCTCCCCCCAACCCCCTCTTCTGAGGGTTGTCAGTCTGTACCGTACTTCCATGTCTCTAGGTCTACCCTGTTCCTCAGACGGTTATATTCATTATATTCCACAAATAAGTGAAATCATGTGATACTTGTCTTTCTCTGCTTGGCTTATTTTGCTTAGGATAATATTCTTCAGATCCCTCTATGTCATCTCAAAGGATAAGAGATCTTTCTTTCTTATAGCTGCATAGTACTCCATTGTGTATATGTACCACTGCTCTTTTGTCCATTTGTCTACTGATAGACACTTGGGCTGTTTCCAGATCTTAGCTATTGTAAATAGTGCTGCTATAAACTTTGGGGAACATACACTCTTTCTGATTGGTGTTTCAGGCTTCTTAGGTTATATTCCTAGAAGTGAGATCACTGGGTCAAATGGCAATTCAATTTTTAATTTTTTGAGGTAATACCATAGTGTTTTCCACAGCAGCTGTACCAGTCTGCATTCCTACCAACAATGTACTAGAGTCCCCTTTTCTCCACACCCTCGCCAACACTTGTTGTTTGATAATTTGTTGATGGCGGCCATTCTGACAGGTGTGAGGTGATACCTCATTGTTGTTTTAATTTGCATCTCTGATAATTAGTGATGTTGAGCATTTTTTCATATGTCTCTTGGCCATTTGTATGTCCTGTTTGGAGAGGTGTCTATTTAGCTCCTCTGACCATTTTTTAATTGGGTTCTTTGTCTTCTTTTTGTTGAGCTGTTTGAGTACTCTATATATTTGCGAAATTAACCCCTTATCTGATATATCATTGGCAATTATTCTCTCCCATACAGTGGGTTCCTTTTCCATTTTGATGGTTGTTTTTTCTGCTGTGCAGAAGCTGTTGAGTTTGATGTAGTCCCATGTGTTCATTTTCTCCTTTGTTTCTGTTGCCTTAGGTGATGTATCAGTGAAAATTCTGCTGTGTATGATGTCTGAAATTTTGTTGCCTACATTTTCTTCTGGGATTTTTATGGATTCATGAGTCACATTTAAGTCTTTTATCCATTTTGAATTTATTCTTGTGTAGGGTGTAAGTTGATGGTCTAGTTTCATTTTTTTGCATGTAGCTGTTCAATTTTCCCAACACCATTATTAAAGAGGCTGTCTTTACTCCATTGCATGTTCTTGCCACTTTTGTCAAATAATAATTGTGCATAATGTCTTGGGTCTATTTCTGGATTCTCTGTTCTGTTCCACTGATCTATATGCCTGTTCTTGTGCCAGTACCAGGATGTTCTGAAGTACCTTCTTTGCATTATTTCTGCTTTTGCCCCCATAGTAAATTTTTTCCCTGCCAGGTTAGCTGGGCAAATATACTGTCCACTCCAAGGACATGAATATAAATACATTTTCAATAGTCATTAAAGTAAATATTTAAAGTTCTACAATAGAAACAACAACTACTAAAATTCGGTCCATTTTGCTAACCAAACCAAAGAAGGAAGTCATTTAGAAATCATGCTGAGGTCAGGGCAGATGGGTGGAGAAAATACTGGAATAAGAGAGAGCAGTGTGTTTCATTTCAGTTTCACTTTAATAAACGAACTGTGTGACCTTTGGAACCATGCCACCTGTCCTCTTAGGGTTTCTGTCTCCTCGGCTGTGAAATAAGAGGGTTGGACAAGAGGGCTTATGAAGTCCTCCAGAACTAGTTCAGTCCCCTGATTCTGTGTGCACTTGCCTATGACTAAACTAAACAATACAGTTCATCCACCACTGACTGCGTCTTAAACTCTATTCAAGGGAGAAACCCCAAATACAAATAATTCAACCTGAAGAACAGCATCTACTTCTTTCTCCATTCTTTAAGCGTATGTTACAACTAGGGACAATTTGAAAGCGAACTGGGATCACTTAAGGAAAAACAATTTTCAAACAAATGTTCTATTGACAGGCCCTCTTACAGCCTTGTACAGAGCCACTGAGGCCCTGGGGATTAAAAGTATTCTCATTTCACGAAGTTTGTTTAGGGACAGAGTGAAGAAGAGCTCAGTGTCAACGTGTTTCCTGTCCTGGTGACAGCTGGTCCAGCTGGCTGTGTGTGAGCTGTCGTAGCAATGGTGCTGTGTGCAGACCTGGGGGAAGGGCAGAAAGGTGCGCCTGGTTCTCACTATCTCTTCTCACTCACCATCAGAACCCTTCCCCAGCGGAACCCAACATGACTTCCAACCTTGACCTCAGTGAGCAAGGCGGCAGGCTCATGAACACAGCTCCGCATGGCAGCCAACGAGGCGCACAGCCCGCTCCTCTCCCGAGGTAAAGAGCTCTGGGCGGAACCACGCGACATCATTCTTTCCATCTTCCCTAAATAAGCAAGTTTGGAAACTAGAACAGTGGGGTTCCAAAATAAGCAGTTTCCACCACATTTGTTTACCCACGTTGAGAATGTCTTCATACTTAGAAAGCCTACAGAATAAAGCTCATCCTTTTAAATCTATTCAAATGGCCTCTGGGGCATGTAATCTTAGTAAGTGAAAAATAAGTGTAGTTACTAAAGGAAAAGACAACAAGTAAAAAGAATACTTCCTTTAGGAAAACATGAGAGAGGAAACAGCCACTCTTTATAATAGAATTTGCCACAGGCAGACAATAGCTTATAACTCAGACTTCAAAAATAAAAATGTATTTGCCATTTTCACATCAATATTTACATGAAAATTCAGTAGTAAGGCATACCATTTGGCAAAATGCCCTATTTGGGGGGGAAAACACTAACTCTGAACTAAATAAAGAGAACATTGATATAACTTTAAAGGTTAATAATATAAAATATTAAAAAACTAATTTCCCATTTTTTGCAACAAAAAAAAATCACTATTACTAATATGTGCATGGCTATGAGAAGATACGTCTTCGTGAGTCTTGACGTTAAGCAGCCGAATTGTTAGTAGTGACATTAAGCATCAAAATACCCAGGACGACTATGGCAGCCAAGGGAAGTTGCTCCCATGGACACAGGAGTTGTAAGGCAGCAGGAGAAACACTATGAAGGAACTGAATTTTCTACCAGCAGACGTGGTTACCCTGTTTATAACCACGAAGACACTAAAATATAATTTCTACTGGTGAAGACTACAATGATAACATACATTACAACTGATTTTTTTCAAGTTGCATGGTGTGTGGAGTGGAAACTAACTTCTTTCAAAGCCTCAGATGGATTTTATAGGCTCTTAAGCCCACAAGTAATAAATAACCAACTAGAGTGGCCAGAGGATTTAGCAACATCTTTCACTGGAAAAACAAATTGTTCTCAAAAGTATGTTAGGTATCTGCCTAAAAATGACTTACTATAAAGAATAAACTGCAAACATTTGTGTAAGTCAAAGAAAAATGCACAAGTAAGTCTTAGGAAGCCTGTTATGATTGTGTAACGTATTACTACTTTCACACTGAAAATAAGCAAGATCTAGGTTTATAGTTACATAAGAATTATATAAAGTAACTTGACAGATCATACCTTTTTCAGGAACCGGACTCCATAGGTAAATACATAAAGGTAAAATGAAAATCTCCACCTGTAGAAGGTTAAAAAAAATTCTATGACATTCCGTTTATATATTTCACAGCATATCCTGATATACATGAGTGAAAAAGCCCACTATATTTGCACCCCCCAAACCTCCCCCAACCTAAGATTAAACTTAATGAGCAGTTTCAGTGCTAGCTGAACACATACGCCCATGTGCATAGCTTACTGCAAGTATTTTAAATATTAGTAATTATAGTCACAACTTAAATTTCCTTTCACTTAGTTAATGTATTTGCCCATTTGCCCACCTTCTCTCCCGTGAAATTCCTCTTGTTAATCATTCATGAAGGGATGTATTTCAACAATATGAAGCTATATAACATAGTTTTGAATTCTGTCTGATTTAGATATTAACTTGATTTAATTGAAGTTCATATTGGTTTTATTTTTTTTATCCTCAACCGAGGACATTTTTCCATTTTTTGTTCAGATAGAGTGGGAGGAAGAGGAAGAGAGAGAGAGAAACTTCGACATGAAAGAGACACATCGAGTGGCTGCCACCTGCACAACCAACCAGGGCCGGGGACAAACTACAACCGAGGTACATGCCCTTAGTGGGAACCAAACCCGGGTCTCTCTGGACCGCAGGCCAATGCTCTAACCACTGCGCCAAACTGGCCAGGGCTCATATTGGTTTTAAAAATAAAAACTTTAATACTTTTAAATCAGGTAAGATATTTTTCTTTGTTCATCTTTCAAAGATATTAATCAACACCTTTGTGGATGTTACTAAATAAAGAAACCCACCTGGAATCTAAGTCATCCACATGATGTACAACTTAATGATAACCATATACCATTCCAAACTGCAGGTCCAGCTGTTAGACTTTCACTTTTTTTTTTATCCTCACCCGAGGATATTTTTCCATTTTTTGTACAGATAGAGTGGGAGGGAGAGAGAGGAAGGGAGAGAGAGAAACATCGACGTGAAGGGACACATCGAGTGGCTGCCACCCGCACGACCAACCAGGGCCGGGAACAAACTGCAACCGAAGTACGTGCCCTTAGCGGGAACCGAACCTGGGTCTCTCCGGACCGCAGGCTGACGCTCTAACCGCTGAGCCAAACTGGCCAGGGCTAGACTTTCACTTTTTTAATGAGGAAACATTTTGAAGTTCTCCTTAAATTTTAAATGATTTATTTCAATGTTCAAGTCTTTTGACAATATGACTTTATTTATATGGACTCCACATAAATTAGTTAGATACTACAAAAGCACACTGATCCTAGTGCTCAATTCCCAATTTTATTTCTTGTATTTTCTGAGTGTGAATAGCTGTGCCCTTGAAAGCTGGCTAGATGTCACTAAATAGTGTTCCTTGGGTTATGTTATCAATGGTGTTAAAATACTGTGAGTTATAAGTTGTAAATTAACTCAAAGGAAGAAGTGACTAGTCAACTTCAATTTGTCAGGAGGCAAATTGCTTTTTGTGTTTGCAAGCCGGGTAAACATTTCAAATAAGGTGGTGGGGGGGAGGGGGGTTGGGAAATGTTATTTTAGGAGATGATTTAAGTTATAGACAAAATTTCCTGGAAGACATGACAACTACCTTCAAGTAAGAGGCAGAGTAAGACCCAAGAGCAGACACAAGGGTCCCTCAGAGTTTTGTTCCTGCATTGAGTGACTCTCCAAACATTCTGAAACTAAAGTCAGAACTAACATTTAAAGAAGAGCTTAGAACTTCAGGTTGAAAATCTTCAACTAAAAATTTATAAAGCCTGAATGAAGTAAGAAACAATAAAACCTGATGGAAGCAATACTTCTTCAACGAGAGCTTCCAAACAATGTAGAGAAGCAATGATTCTAAAACCTCATATAAAAGCTTTCTTGTAAGTAAAAGTGGTTCATTTACTTACTGTAGAATCAAAATCAAGGACTTAATTTTGGCTGTTTTTGAGTTTAATTAGTACACAATCTTACATTGATTATATTAGTTTCAGGTGTACAATCGATAGCTGAATGGATAAAGATGTGGATATAATACACACACACACACACACTGGAATATTGCACAGCAATAAAAAGAATGAATTCTTGCCATTTGTGACAACATGGATGGATCTAGAGGGTATTATGCTAAATCAAATGAGTCAGGCAGACAAGGACTTAATTTTAACCCCTCTCTCTCCATTATCAGTACTTTGGTGGTGATGGGGAGAGTGTGTGTTTCTTTTTGTTTGGGTGTACAAATTCTAGATCAGAAGCCAAGGCCAGGAATGGCCTCAAGGGCACATAACTTGTGCAAGTCACACAGGGTCCCGTGCTTGCTTTAATGCTTGTCTGTCACTCTCCTGAAATTTTTAATCATTGTTGAACAAGGGGTCCCATTTTATTTTGCCTTGGGCCCTGCAAATTATGTAGCTGGGTCTGGTTAAGACACATAGATACTCCACATATTGGACAGATCTATTAATATGCCCTGATTTTAGTTCCATCTCTACAATGGGAAAGTAGGTTTATATTATATACTGCTTTTGATGGCATTCGGTATCAGAAGTAATCCCCAGTTCTTTCTATTCTCTCACTCCCTATTACATTAATCCAACATACTTCATGGATTTGCAGGCCACTTTTCTGGCCCCTGAAGGCAACTAAATTTTCATTTCCTAGATCAAATGATTTATAACAGCTGTATCAGCTCTACGACCTTTATTAATAGGCAGTGGTCAGGCTGTTTTAATGTAAAATAAAAATGTCATGGAAATCATTGGAATTCCTACAATAATTCACGTATCTACATTTTTATTTCATCACAAAAATGACCCAGCTTTCATAAGACATAGGTTCTAGTACAGAAACACAGATGCCTTCATCATTTGAATAACAACTTGTGATGAATATTTACAAGGAAGAGTTTATTTCCATAAAAATCTACATAAAGCAAAATTTTCAAGCATTTTGCCACATGCAGAAAGTACTTATTTTTATTTGAGTAGTTTCATATAAGTTAAAATTTTAAATGGTGTCTAGCTACCAGCCACTGATAAAGCCTCTCCCAACTTCCCAAAAAAGTTTCTATAAAAAGACAGGTAAACAAAGGTGTGTGCAACCACAGCAAGGAAGGAATAACCTTCAACCTACTCCAAGAATCAGAGAAAATATTTTTACAGCAGGAAAAAAAGAGTAAGTTAGATTTTTAAAAATGTAATAAAAGGCAACAGGAAACAAGCTGTGGGCCTTTAAGGGAGCAGGGACATCTTTGTACATCCTTTCTCCATTTTCTTCCATCTTGTACAGTATAAAAAGATCTGTATAATTCAGAAACTTAGTCGGCTCTCTGGCATGAATGATGCTTTTTGAGAAAGCAGGTAATTCCTCCACCCCATCACTGTGTGACTGCTACTTTCAAACAATGAGTGAGAAGAAAGGGAAATACTTAGTATCCTGGGAGATTCCGTTTCAGAAAAGCAGATTTATGGACCAGATGATACGGTAGCACCGCATTCTGGGTATTAGATTCTCATATAATCCACATACAGAATAACAGAGAACAAGGCACTGGAGATAGCTGCTTCAGATAGAACTCTTTTAGTCCAGTGAGAAGGCAGCAGGGCCTAGAACCTGCTACCACATCTACAAGAGGGCTTTGCAGGCAAACAGAGGCACAGAGTGAGGCCAGGCACAACCCAGGCACCCTTTCTGTGACTGATCTAGATGTATATTTCCAAATTCAGGAATAATGAAGAGAGCTCAATATCATCATAGGTCTACTAAGAAGTACTGCATAAGTAAAGAGCATGCTAAAGATTCAAAGGAAGAATTGTCTCCTAAAAATGACTTCCTAGAGGAATCAGAAGTAAATTTAAGAAAAGTATTTGGCTTTGTTAATACGATACAAGATATGTCCCTGAAAAATGAAACTGGAAAACCATAAATCAATAAAGACTATTGGGTAAGATAAAAAGAGCTTACAGGTGAAATAAAGAAGCTAAAAATTGGTGGGGGGAAAGTAGATACATACTGTGTAAATTAAATCATTGATGCAGAAGATAAACACCCAAATAAGGTCAGAGAAAAGAACCAACAGATGAAAGAACCCCCCAGATCTGGAGGGCCACAAAAAACAAGTCGAATTACAGTTGTTTCTGAGAAAACACAAGTAAAGAACTGAAATAGAAATAATCAGACACACAATTTAAGAAACTAAATTGGTAAAAAGGACAAAATCATGTTCCAAACAATATACAATTCAAAGCCACATTCTGACAAAAATTTTGAGTCCTAGAATTAAAATTAAATAAAAACCCTTTAGTATTCAGGCATAGAAAAAAAACAGGTCAACACATAAATTAAACGAAAATAAATCATTCAAGGAACAAACATCCAGCTGGTCTTAAACTTCTGTGTATTAAAGAGAAGCCCTGGCCGGTTTGACCTAGCAGTTAGGGCGTCGGCCCGTGGACCAGTGAAACCCGAGTTCAATTCTTGCCAAGGGCACGTACCTCAGTTGTGGTTCATCCCCGGCCCTGGTCGGGTCGCGTAAGAGGCAACCAGTTGATGTGTCTCTATCACATCTATGTTTCTCTCTCTCCTCTATCACATCTATGTTTCTCTCTCTCTCTCTCTCTCTCTCTCTCTCTCTCTCTCTCTCTCTCTCTCTCTCTCTCTCCTCTTCCCTCCCTTCCTCCCTCCTTATCTGTCTGAAGATAAATGGAAAAATGTCCTCGGGTGAGGATAAAAAAAAAAAAAGAAAGAGAAGACTCACTCAATGAAAGAAAGCTGCTGCTAATCAAACTGCCTTTCACTTCTAAGAGAATATGAAAAATAGTCTCCCAAATCTAATGGCTCTAAAAATACATTAGTCATTAAGCTTTCTTTAAAAATTACTCAGGCCTATTCTAATCCACTCAGATACAAATAAAAATTAAGAATGTAAAAATAAAAAACTAGGATTAGCAATATAAATAATTGCCCTATATTTCTTTGCTAAATTAAATACTATTGCCCTGGCAGGATTGCTCAATGGTTAGAGCATCAGCCTGCAG